ACACACACACACACGCCCCCACACACACACACACACACGCACGCACACGCACGCACACATACACACTCTTACACACGGGTTACTGACCTAGTCTTAATCTCTTTGTTGTTTTGTAGTCTGGGTCAGTCAGTTGAATGTGCAATGTGCTGACACGGACCTGTGCACTCGCGCGTGTGTGTGTGTGTGTGTCATGTGTGTTATTACGCCATGTTGTTGTTGCGCGGTTGCGCACCTCCTGCCCGTGTCCAGTGCTCGAGGGCTAAGTTTGAGAACAAAGAAAGTTGAGGAAAATTAACAAAAGACATTTTTGACGTTTTACCTGTTGTTATTTCTCTTTCATTGTGTGAGTGTGTGGTTCCCACGTCCCCTGTACACTTGTGGGTTTGGGGGGTAGTGATATTATATTTATACCCGGTCTCCATCAGACAGTCAGTCTACTTCATTACTGAGTGTGTTGGAGTGGAAGTTTCTCTCAACACGAAAACATTGCAGAGTTTCTACTTTTCACCACGAATTTGGAGACTTTTTGTTCTAGATTTTCAATTTTGTGGACATAAGCGTAACTAAAAGTGATAGAGTGTTGGTTGGCCTTGTGTAGTGTGGAAAGTGTGGTGTGTTGTGTTGTGCCGTTGTCCCTGATGACTCGCGGAATGTTCACCAGGAACACAGGCACGTCCCCGGCCTCGTGGTCGTACAAAGTTCTTCTAGATGAGATGCGTCAATTGTGTAGGTTTTTGCTTTTGTTTTTTAAGGGACATGGACCTTTCATGTTGAGATGTTACAATGTTCTATTGTGTGTTTTTTGGTTGTTGTTGTTTTTTTTAAAATTGTTTTGGGGTTGTTGTTGTTTTTTTGGTTCGTTTGGGGTTCTTTTTTATTGGTTGTGTCAATTGCCACCGAGTGACGCGGTGGCAATTGACAAAAATTGACTTTTTGTCAATTGCCACCGAGAAAATTGGAGCTCTTTTGCGTTGGTGTGTAGATCTAGATCTAGATCTAGCTTATTGTGCTCGGTGTTGTGCGTTCGCCTCTCTGTCCCTCTGAGTGTGTGTGTGTGTGTGTGTGTGCGTGTCTTTTCCTGACCCCCGTCCCGCGATTTATGTTCCCCGATATAACGTGAATTTCTGCTTGAGTTTGTGTGCGTTTGTGACCTTCTACTTCTAGAATTGTCTGTGTTGGTTCTTCTACACCAAAGTGTAGGCTAAGGCTAGCCTAGATCTAGGCCTACGTCTCATTGAAAACACGCCAAGTTGGTACCGTAGCTCTAGACCAGATCTAGATTCTAGATGCTCGTCCAGTGACATTAGTTGAGAGCAAATTGACCCATTAGACACACATTATGTATAATGCTGAAGATAGTGTTGTTTTCAGACTTGACACCGCTTCACTCGGTGGCAATTGACAAAAAGTCAATTTTTGTCAATTGCCACCGCGTCACTCTGTGGCAATTGACGCTACCTTTTTTATTTTTGTTTCGTTTGATTTTTCTTTTTAGTGTGGGAGGGGGTTGTCTTCTAGTTGATTCATAGCCATGTTTGTTTAGAGAGAAGCACGACCTGGGGTTTTGAAGCTTGATTAGTTTTGGAATATCATTATGTTTAGTCGGAGTTCCTCCTGTCCTAAATAGAACCTTGGGGGTTTTCTGGTGGGCACGTCTCCCCCCCCCCCTGCATTTCATCATGATTTTGATGTTTTGGCAATAAGGATTGATACTTAGTTTTTAAAAAATGATTTGTAAGTGTTTTAATGGCCATATGTGGCAGTTTAGCCCCTAAAACAGTGTATCTGCGTGCGGGTCTAAAAGTACAAATTTACCTAAATATGTGTTTTGTGAAGCATGATTTAGGAGTTTTGAAAAACAAGAGTCATGAAATATGAATAGTAGTCTTAAAGAAGGTCAGGTCCTAATCGCATTGTTATGGCTCATTTTTCTGTCTTAATATTTTTCCCAGCTAAGGCTGTTTCCTTTCTTTGTGTCGTAGCATTATTGTTGCCGCTGTTTTTAAAAGAATGAAATGTTTTCTTTAATTGCCTGTCCACTTGGGTTTCTCAGAGGCGTTCATTTTTGTCAGTGAAGAGTAAGCCTAGTAAAGACTTGCAATGGGCAGTTGGAAGGTTGCACTGACCTAGTCAAATGGCCCTCGACACTGTACACCCTTGTGTAGACCATGAATATATTTTATATTATACATTATGTGTAGATGATCTTTGGTGTGAGACAGGCTATAAATATTGGAAGAATGCGAGTGGGTGGTTGGTATCTGACGTCCTCATCTCTCCGCCTTTTTTTGTGTTTTTTATTCTCTTGTTCTTGTAACACCTTTATTAATTTAATCTTCGGTATTTTTGTGACCTAATTATGTTGCATGCAAGTGCCATAAAACGAAGAATGTGAGCTTCTGTTGACTGTTTGTAGATTTATGTGCGTTTGATTGAGAGAGAGAGATGAATGTTTGAGTATACACAGCGCAGCGTGTGACAAGTGTTGAACTCCATGAGTCTGGAGCCACCAGCACTAGATGAACTGAGGGGTTGTCAATATTTTGTCACTGGATCTGGGTTTGTTTTTCTTTGGGGGAGTTTTTGTGTGTGGGTGTGTAACTTGATTTGTATTTGACATGATCAACTTTCCTTCTGGACAAGCACCCCTCTCCCACTCCCACCCCTAATACAACCCCACCCCCACCCCCAATGCTGTCTTGCATCTTCCCTGCACTATATGATCATTACTGTGACCGTGTCAATGTGCTTTTCTTTGCTCAAAGGCAGTGGTGAAGATAGTTGTATATTTATTGGTGGTTGGTAGGTGCTTTGATGTGATTAGCTCCTTCTTTTCTTCCTCTCAAACATCTGTTGTTTTGATCTTTTCTTTTTTGTGTTTGTTACTCTTGTAAGACCTCTAATCTATTGCCCTTATGTGACTTTGTGTGTTGCAAGTGCTGTAAAACTAACTATAACAACAAAAAGTCAAGTCTTCTGTTTTTCCTCGTATGTCTGTTTATCCTAGCAGAGAGCTAGAGATGAAAGTAGTCGTATTTGTTTCTTCTATAGGCCTATAGTCAAAGTTTTCTCCTTTTTTTTCCTGTGTTGGGTAGCTGGTAGGTCCCACTTTTTTATTTTCCTTTTATTTTTGTCTTGTCTTTACTTTTTCCCCAACACTAAATGATCATTATTATGTCGATATGCTTGTCTTTATTCAAACAAAACATGTTTTCCTCTTTGCACAGATGAGGGCGACAAGTCTGAGGTTTCTCCGCACCTGGATGTGAATGGCAACCCCCAGGCCCCCTCCTTGGAGAACTACTCACAAATGCGCCAGCCGCCTGGAGGACCCAAGTCGGACGCTGCCTCTCCCCTGGCCATCCCACCTGGCAGCCTGATTGGCCATGGCAGCTCCGGAGCTAACAGCTCTGGCCTGGGCCCAGACTCAGCCCAACAGAACGAGCTAGACCGCAAGCGGCTGCGCAAACAGCGCCGTCTGGAAAAACAGCAGCGGTTCACGCAGGTCTACAGCCAGACCATTAAAGACTTCAAAGGGTACGAGGACCTCAACGACCTGGTGAACTTCATCGAGGGCAACAAGAAGCAGCCCGTGGCCGCCGCAGAGCCAAAGTCTGGCAAGAAGAAGCAGGACCGGAACAAGAAGGAGTTGTTGAACGGCCCGTCCTTGTCAGCTGAGGGGAAGACTTCTGGACACAAGAACGGTAACATCACTTCGTCTGCTCTTAGGGTTTAGCTTGTTCACATTCGTCTGACCTTGGGTAGAAACGGGAATAGATCAAATCGCTCTGTTTATTTTAATCATCATTTATCTTTGCATGTGGGTCTGAAAGTTGGATGACAAAAAGAATGTAAAAGTCTATCATTGAAGGCCACTGCAAATTGTTTCCAACTTGTCTTCTTTCATGTTAGCCTATAGGAGGTAAAAAAGTAAAAGGGGATTTACCGCACACTCATGAAACATCAAATGGTTGACATTTTCATAGCGCTTTTGGAGATGCACATGGAGACTTCCAGGCGGTTTAGTTTAGGAATTAAATTAACAAGGTTACACTGAAATATGAGGGCAGGGTGGTGCCACTGTCTCCTAATAAGCAATTTATATACTATGTTACTGTAAACCATGTATTGCAGTGATCCTCTACATGCATTAAAATTGCAATTTTTATATAATACCCAAATAATGAACTTTTGTATTACTGGATAAAGATTTTCCATGTGCCTTGGCAAACTAGTAAATTAGCAAGAATTTTTTTTAACATGGAACACGGTGAGACGAAGTTGAACAAGCTATATTGATCATAAGTCTCAAACTATAATGTAAATGGGTGATTGGCAGGTGTTCTGCTATGGTTTGTTCCCTATTTCTTTTCAAACGTCTATCGTCTTTATCTCTCCTGCTTCTTTTTTGTATCTGTGACTCTCTTGTGACCTAACTTACCTCATTGTTCCATCTCTGTGCCACTGTAACTTACTGTAAGCTTGCAATCCTGTTCTGATTGATAATTCCTTTGTTTTTTCAACTGTTTGTTGTTTTTGTGACAGCTGTCAGTCCCTTGGACTTCTGTAGGGCCAGGTGGTGGGGGGGGGGGGGGGGGGGGGGGTGCACTACTGGTAGGTCTTATTGTGTCTGCGTCTATCTTACTTTTTCTCCTCTTATCACATTGGTATGCTTCTCTTTATTCAAATGTCCTCAAAAAAAAGTCTGGCGACTACTAGTTTTGTACAATAATTCAGTTGTCTGTGTTTGTTGAGTGCGATATGGACAGCTTAACCTTTTCACTACCGTACAGATGTATAATCTTATTTGTCTGTGGTGCTCTCCCAAATGGTTCACTGTTATTTTTTCTACTGATTTTTGCGAGTATTTTTTATTATGTATTTGCAACTGGTGCAGTTTCTTATTCTACATAATGGGAAATATGTTGTTGTAACTTTGATTCATATCTCTTGAATGAACCTTTTTTACTAGTCTGTACAAATGTGGAAACAATTCAGCGCTGAAAGGGTTAAACAGGACAGTTTTTCTGCGGGTGGTTGGCTGGTGTTCTGATATGGTTTGTTCCTTCTTTACCATCAAATACCTATTGTCTTTATCTCTCTACAATTTTTCTGCGAGTGGTTGGCCTGTTGGTGTTCTGATATGGTTTGTTCCTTCTTTACCACCAAATACCTATTGTCTTTATCTCTCAACAATTTTTCTGCGGGTGGTTGGCTGGTGCTCTGATATGGTTTGTTCCTTCTTTACCACCAAATACCTATTGTCTTTATCTCTCAACAATTTTTCTGCGGGTGGTTGGCTGGTGCTCTGATATGGTTTGTTCCTTCTTTACCATCAAATACCTATTGTCTTTATCTCTCTTCTTTCTTTTTTCTGTTTATTACTCTCTTGTAACACCTCTAACCTGCGGCAGTTAAATGACTTTATTGTGTTGTAAGTGTCAGAAAACTTACTCAAACAAAACAATTATTTTCTCTTTTCAGATGAGCTGTCTGTGAGCCCAGGCAAGGATTCCGTGTTGATCGGCAGCGTTGTTGTACCCAACAGGTCGCCACAGGGGGCCATGGGAAACAGCTCTGGTCGGGGTACGGGAAACGACGCAGACTCCAACCTCAGCACCAGCACCACAAGGGAAAGTTTGGACAAAGGTGGCAGCAACAACAGCAGCGACTTCCACGACTGCCCCGACTCATTACCCGAGTCGTCGTCATCATCATCTCAAGACATCACCAGTAAGGAGATGACAGAGGTGAAGACAGCGGGTAACCGTAAACCAACGGAACTTTCCGTCAACAGCATGATGGGAGACAGCTCCAAACTTGTGCATGTCAATAATAACAAGAAGTTGTCCAAGGCGAGTCGTGTGCCCGGCCGCAGAGAGAAGTCTGAGCCCCCGTCTGACAGCGAGCCTCTAAGCCCAAGACTGACCGCAGTCAAACCACGAGAGCTGAGTGAGCCCCAAGATGGTGTGGTCAAGTCTGTGTGTGTTGAGACGACGTACAGCGTGGACTACAACGACACGCTGGACGGTCAACTGGAGCCAGGGGTGAAGAGAGAGGAGTCATTCACCGAAGTGAAAAAGAAGAAAAAGCGTTCAAATATGAAGGAAATCAACCACATCCCCGGAAATAACAATTTCACTAACAATTTCCCTAGTCACAACAATAGCTTTTCTCCGACCTACCAGCCTCGTGGTGGCGGTGCACCATACCGTGGGACCCAGCGCCCCCGCGCCACCACCCCTCCCCCAGTGTCTGTGAGCAGCCTCTCCACTACCACCACCACCAGCAGCCTGCCTGTTGACAAAGGGAGCCCCATGGCCTCTCGAGACCTCAGCCCCAGCTCTTTCCCAGTGCTCTCTGGACACAGCCCACCAGGCCCCCGCGCAGACGGACGCCGAAACTCCTGTGGTGACATCAGCACGGAGAGTATGGACAACAAGGTTCTCTACGACAGCGATAGAGAGTCGGTTAAATCCCTGCCAGCCGCCCATGGAGCTAAGCCCGCCAGTGTAGAGACATATTCGGCTTACCCTGTGTCATACGCCCGTATGGCGGCTGCCCCCAAACGTATCGGAGAAACGGCCATCAGTCCTAGCTCGGAGTCTGGGGTGGCCAGCGGCTCCCAGAACAGTAGCAGTCTCTCCAGCAGTGCGGCCCACACCCCGGGAAGCAGTATCGATATCAATTCACCACCATCGCCTAGCAACCCCGTGGTGACCACACCCGAGAGAAAGACCACTGTTTGGAAGGGTAGCCCCCGCGAACGTCGTCACTCTATCGGGTCCAGCCCAGAGGATCTGGCAGAGTGCGACAAGTCCTCCATGAGCCAGCGTAACCGGCAGAAGAGTGGCAGTCAGGAGGTGCTCACCAGAGAAGGTTTGGCCGCTCCCACTGCTGTCCTCCCATCCCCTCCTGTGAAAAATATTCAGGCCGCAGAGGCAGATCTCAGCGCTGTGGAGGTCGCAGACTCGAAACCAACCCCTGCACAAGCCAGGTCGCAGGCTGCAGTCCCTGTTACCTCGGTCAGTAAACCAGCCCCAGCTAGCAGTACACCTGTCCCCCAGGCTGCTGTCAATCCTCTGGGTAAACCCGTCCCCAGCAACACACCCCTCTCTGTGTCGTCATACGCGACAGTGACCTCCACCAACCCCCAAATATCTGGCCCTCCCAGTGGTCCCCCCTCTCAGCCTCCATCAGCACAGTCTGCTGTGGCTGCTCACAGTGCTGCTGGAAAGACACCATCGTTGTTGCCGGGTGAGAAATTAGAACTGGAGCCCAATTCTCTCTTGGTCTCCATTCCCACCCCCAACCAGAGCAAGTCTGTGCTGGAGGAGGAGGGCTCAGAAGTACACACTGACAATTCCACCAGCAAGCTGCAGTCGGCCCCGGCTATGGCTACCGGGGAGAAGTGCGTGGAGCCACAGTCCAGAAAACCTGTTGGTCCCAGCACCAACAACAACACCAGCGCGTCAAGGTCGGTGATCTTCCTCGACAAACGTTTCGACGCGGCGCCCCGGCAGAACCTGGGCATCACATTCGGGTTTGATTCCACGTTCGAGTCGAGTCCAGCCCCACCGCCATCGTCTGACGCTGGCCCCGTAACTAGTCAGGCTGTCTCCAGTGCTGCGCAGCAATCTCAGCCGTCAACGTCACCAGCGACAGCGACCAATGAACAGTTCCCCCTGCCAGCCACCCTGTCATCTCTGTTGCCATCTTCCAGCCAGCTTCCCAGTGCCAAGCAGCCCGGGCCCCACGCACCCCAGGGACCCCACGCATCCCAGGTGCCTGCACCTCACATTCCTGCACAGCCATCCGTGGCTACACCAACTTCTTTCTCTCGTTCCCAGTCCAGTTCATCCTCATCACCCCAGTGTCCCCCCCAACATAGTGATACTAGCAACTGTGGTAGTAAAGTGCCAAAAGCCCCCCACATAGCGGGGCCCAGTAATGGACTCATCCTACCCTCCCCTCCCGCTGTGGCAAACAGTTCCAAACCACAGGCTTCTCTCGTCAGTGCTAGTTCCAATGGTGATAATAAAACCAGTTACGGTGGCAGTATTAGTGGTGTGAAGAACAGTGCAGGTCCAGGCTCTGCGACCAGTCGGACTAACAGTAAACCTGTGAGCGTGCCAGTCATCCCAGCCCTGGCCGGTAGTAGTATGAGTAGTAGCACACCTTCGCCCGCAGTGCCTCTGGCCCCCACCCAGCCCGCGATGGTGGCCCGCCCTCCTCCCCCTGCCGGACTGATCAGTGCGGGAGGTGTGGTCTTCTCCCCCAACCATCCCCCACCCCCGCTCCCAGGCCAGATGGGCCTACACGGGGGCAGCAACCACCAGGCCTCCGCCGCCATTTCTACCTCGTCCTTATCGTCATCAAAAGCTGGTGAGCCATCGGCAAACAAAGTGGGGCCTGCGACAAAAACCAACAACAACAGAAAGGGCAGCGGGAGCAGCCTAGGCCCCGCCCCGACCACGACCCCTTCGTCGTCATCACCATACTTGACCACAGGTGCTGGAGACTCTGGGGGGGCTACCGCTCTGGTCAACATGATGGTCTCGGCTCCTCCACAGGGCCCACAACCTACAGCGGTCACTGGTCACGGCCCACAGTTGCCCACACCGGAGATGCTAAACACGGCAATCCCTGTTATCTACGGCATGAAAATTAATCCCAATGGAGGCTGTGGGGTGGTCATGTACAGACCGCCAGAGCAAATTGATGCTAAAAAAGGGAAAAACAATAATGAGGCGTCAGGCTTTTTGAAAAAAAGTGAGTGAGTTGGCTGGCATTAAATTGTTATCGCTTTCTTGTTGTCACAACACAGTTGCCCAAGTCTTGTTGTTTTTTTTTGTTTTTTTTAACACTCGTAAAACTGCTTGCATGAACCATTTACCCCCTGTAGTGGAGTTGCGTGATGCTTACCAACTCGCCACTCTCATTGCAGGGCGTTTTAAACCACCATATTTGCCAAACTCACACTTGAAGCCCGACACTGCCATGGTAAGCATTTCTATCAGGACTAGGCAAAATGTCCGATTTGGTATGACTGAATAGGAGGTTATAAAGCGAAGCTAGAATTGCTCTGCTTTCTTCAGAGTTTTTGATTGGTTGTAGTCAACTTTGAAATGATGCCTGTGTGAATGTTTAAAATAAAAATGTGAAATGGGGGTGCAAAAGACTTGAAAATTGGACAAGTCTCAAACAAACAAAGACATGTCGAAAGTTCATTTCGTGATCTGTTATGATTTGAAGTCTCTGAAGGATTTAATCTTTCTTTGATTTAATGGAATCGATGGGCAGCAAATAAAAAGCGGATAGTCACAACTATAATGGGAGAAATAGGTACCTGCCCATACTGTACCGTAGCTAGTGCTTCCAGTCTTCCGTATTTTTATGGAAATAAATCCATACTTTCTAACAGTTCCATGTTTGTTCCGCAGTCATCAAGTTCATCCGTTAGAAAGTGTGATAGCGCAGGGCTACCGAAATTCTGTGGCAAAGGATCCATACTCACCTTTGTATCGTCTTGTATAGTATACGGATATTTACGCTCTCTCTGCAAAAAGTTTATGTTATAGGAACGTGCCACCCACCCAGCACGCAGAGTGCAAAAACCTTTGTCCCTATGTACCGGGATGGAGATGGGCCACATTACTGTTGTACGTGCCTCTCAACAAAAATACCTTGATAATTATGCTGTGGAGTCCACTTATAACGAGTCCTGAAATATCGAGAAGTCTGTTATAAAGACACTTTTTTAAAAAACCCACCTTTTTTTTCCCCCTTCTTTACCTTTGTAAATAAAATACTGCTATAGCGCAATCAGATAAACACGCGGGTCGGTTACAGCGGAATATTGCTGCTGCTGTGCATAGGGCAAGGCCAATTATACATATTGTAAAACCTCACCAATTGAGAAACTTGTTGGCGATTTAGCGAAACAAAGAATTGGAGAGCCCATGTGTGCCAACAATGAACTTAATGAAGGCCGCAGCGAATGAGTGGGGAGGGTGTGGAATGCGCTGACAAGCAGAACGCATCGCGTGATAGGCCAGCCTAGTCTAGATTATCTAGCCTACCATGCCTCTCACTTCTCCGATGCGGGGATGGAGAGGTCACAGTGCGAATGTGTGACGTGCACAAGCAGACGGAACACACCAAAGGGTGTGATGGTGTGCGGGACAACACAGCGGGCGAGTTAGTTTAGAGCCCTTTCCTTCTTATCGCCAACGCCGAGCTGTCAACGGCACTAGGGCCTCAGACAGAAACCTGATTCAATTTTTGATCAAGAAAGACCCAGAGGTCATGTTTAACAAAATCACCAGAGGAGGGGATAACAAAGAGTTTATTATTTCTCTTGAATTTATTACTGGATCCCTTATAACGAACATTTTGCATCAGTCCCCTCTCTCTCTCGTTAAAACAGGATTCCCCTGTGGCATTTTCAGCACATTGAGATGATCCCATGTTCACAAACAAAAAGGAATTAAAATCAGAACTAAAACCATTACCTCTAGCTCATTTATCACCCAAGTCTTCATCATGGCGTCGGTGTAAAGCAGCACTCATGCTGGGTCTACTCGACATTTAACACCAAAAAAAGTTAACTCCAATAGTAAACAGACTGAATTTTGTGCTCAATGGCCACACAAACCAATCAGAAAGGAAATTATAACTTTTAACAAGTGCTCATGTCTAAAAGGAAATCATTCCTACTTTTTCGTTTCTATATATATATCAATCTATCGCCATTCCATAGGGGCAAAGTATTAAAAATACATTATGTATTTTAGAGGATTAAAAATCCCTTGTGCCGGGGATTGCAGGCATGTATCAGGACAGCCCCCCTCAGGGGGTAAATGGTTCATCGTCATTATGACTAGAACAGAAGGGAAAATTAATGTCAATGAAACAAAACTCTGGAATATTAGGAATACAAAACAAATGATAGGCAATTTTTCTCCACCAATAAACAGGGAACAAAATAGCAGGGCAATTGTGTTATGACCATGATGTGATGATGCTTTATGTTCCATACAATGTAGTGTGATGTAATAAATTGTTGAACAAATATTGTTTGTGTATGTGTAAGCCACTGTCCTCTCTTCTCTAGTTCTTGGTTCGTCAGTGTTAGTTCCTGTGTTGTTTTATACCACTTTTCATAAAGCTAATACAGAGGAGTCCACTTAAAGCAATCCACGAGAAAGACATCGGAAAAATTTACTGGTCTGATGATAACGTATCAGAAAAATATTTTGGATCTATTCCAACGCAAAATTGTACAAGGATTCCATTTCTGTTTAATTTACATGCAAGAATACATCGAACCTGAAAAAATTTCCCAAAAGTAAACTGTCTTTTTACTTTCGCTTCATTGCTGCATAAGGCTGTCTGTATGCAAATTTCAACTTTCACGGGGTAAGATTAGTAAGAATCTTTCGTTCCATGGTGTTTATTCTAATCAATATAAAGTAGGCATGTTATGACCTTTTAATAGGTCTCAGAACCCAAAATTTATTATTGTGCTTTTCAGAAATTAATCCAATTATTAGTCTTTCACTCTTTCCATGAGAACATCAATAAATTCTAAAAACTGCATAAAATCTACTGAAACTGAAGACTGACTCTGGGCTTTGCTATTTCTCCAATGAAACCATACACGTTTCACCTGAAAACAGTGGTAAACCACAAGAAAGTACAACCCAACATTTTTACTTGTTATTTAAATATTTGAGCCTTCATTTAACCAAAAACTTGGTCAAACCAAAGAAAATCAGGCAGTGTTGCAAATTTTGGTGTACCTTTAAGTGGACTCCTCAGAATATGTGTCGTCAACAGGCCCACTCCTGTGTCATTACTTTTGTGCGAGTTTTCATGTGTGTGATGTGAATAAAAGGAACACAAGAGTTCCCCTCCCACTTACCCAGTACCTTTTCTGTGTTTCTCATAGGGTGAGGTCTTCTGTTCTTCTCATCAGTAATGTCGTCGTGGCGGGTAGATTATGCAGTAATGGTTTTAGGGGAAGTGGTAGCTATGATTACTGAATTGTGGTGAAAACATTAAGACAAAGTTCAGGTTAAAAGTCGCTGGTTAACATTTAAGACAAAATAGGATTGTAAAACAGAGAGGAGAGGGGGGCTAAAACAGCACTTAAACATAGCCAGCTGGTGTTCATGAATTATTAATGGTTAATGAATGGCTATGTGGATTTGGATAAGTTTTAAAAAATCTTCTCCAGATAAAGTTGCTGACTGAGGGATATTGTTTGGTTTGACATTTGTTAGTCTCCCCAAGCTCTATAAAAGCTATCAAAATTCCTCAAAATGTGAAGGATTTTTTTACTCTACTGGAAGTACATTTAATTTGTAGGGAAATCATACATTATAGGCATAGCTCTTTCTGCTAGTGCTGTGCGATCTTGAGTGAGGAAATCAATTTTATTGACTCTTTGAAGCACGAGGTCACTTCTTGCTATACAAAGACTTTAAGTGAATGGGGCTGGGGGGGGGTTTTTTCTTTCTTTTTTTTTACCACGTCCATCACCAGCTTCTGCCATTCATTATTCACGTACTATACAGTGATTACACGAAGATGGCAAATTACTATTTATAGTTATTTGAATTTTTAATAGGTGAAAGGAGATCAATGGACAGCCTACTATAAATTTCTTGGGAAAATCATTTGCTGTGCTGCGAGAGTCAGTGCCCTTGAACTTTTTAGGTTCCAATAATTCCTCTGTCTCATAATCATCAAGTACAAGTTGTTGCTGTATTTAGCTGAATTATTTATAACAGAATGTGTTCTAATTTGAGAAGAATGAGATGCAAAGCCACTATGTACAAAAATCACACTTTAAATAGCTGTGAATAGCACAAAAATGAAGAATGTTAAATAGAGTGGAATGGGCACAGCTCTACTTACTGCTGCAGTACACGAAAAGCAGTTTTAACTCTTATCTCCGGGGGGCGGGGGGGTTGTGGTGTGTGTAAACCCACTATGCCAGGGCCCTTTTTTGGTACTAAATCTAAAAATGACAAAAACGTCACTACTTTTGGTCATTAAAGGAAAACAAGTGGACCCATTTTGATAGTTTTTCATCTAATGAATGAAATCCCGATAAAAGAGACCTGTTTTTGGCAATTGACGAAAGTAATTTGATGCCAACATCAAGGAATGTGCCCGAGCTGCTCTCGGCGGTTCACTGGCACAGGGGTTCCGACCGTGAGCCTCTTACCGGAGATAAAGAGTTGAGCTTGCCCAAAAAAATTTTGTTGATTATCTTTTCTGAATTAGTCTAGTCTTGTGTTTTTATACTCACCAGAGAATTTTCAGTTTTCGTAGGAGTTTATTTTGAATTTTGTCCAAGTGATGGACGAAGCTGAGTTTAAGTTTAAAAGGAAGCATGTGCAACTTGCTCATGGGACCTCAAAATTTTTCACCTTTATCCAAGAAGGCTAGATGTTCGATCTTTCCTACTCTTAAGATCAAGAATGTGTCAGAAGAATAGCTGTAAGGAGGAGCCAGGAGTGGAAGGAGAGAGGAGGCCAGGGGTGGGGGAGAAGGTGGAGATGAAGGCAACGGACAGAGCAGTGCTAGAGAACGGGAAAGGAGAAATATTTTTTTCACTGTCCTGTTGCGGTCCTCTTGTTTGAGACCTCTACACCATGAGGACCCCATTATTGGCCGGATGAACCTCTCTTCCTTTGGTCATCTTGAACTTTTGGCAAGTGTTTCAAGCCTGTAAATGAAAGAATCTGTAGAATGCTTAAGATCTTTCAGAAATTGTATCAAGTGAAAAAAAGGCATTACAAGAGTGTTTTTGAACCTGTTTGGAAATAGGTAGATCAGAGAAAGTTAATGAAACCCTTGAGTTGAAACTGCTGATGTGGTTAACCATAAGCTGTTCTCCTGACCTATTTTGATATATGCACACATGGGCTAAATTTGGCTGCCAAGTTAAAAAGAGTTTTTGTATGAGGGGAGGTTATTTTATGAAATAGCTTAGTTAATATTTAACGCAACATTTATGGAATGGAACATCAATCTAACAAAGTGTTGCAGAAGGGACTAATGGTCAGGGTAATACTCATTTTTTTTTTTTTTTTGGGGGGGGGGGGGGGGGGGGGGGGGGGGGTTGTAAGGCAGTTAGTTGGAGGGTGTCTCTGGTAGATCTTAGTTCTTTTCTTTCCCCCTCTTTTTTCTGTTTGTGTGTTGATGTACTTCTCTCTCCATTAACTCAAACTTGATGGAGAATCCATCCAGTGATGCGATGTTGTTCTCTTCAGTAAAAAAAAGTGGCCTAACACCAACAAGCATAGCATTTACTATGCTGGTGTCTGGCGTCGGATGGCGGAGTTCCAGTCAGGAGTTTTATTTCAAAAGACAGTACATCCAGTTTTGTGAAATGTTCAAAAGAGCCAAAACCATCCCATCATATTTTTGCGTCTCAACAACCAGTCGCTTTGAATATCTTCAATAAACTTTCCCCACCTTAATTAGTAAAATACAGATACAAGACTAAGGTAGAAATGTGCAATGTGTTTTAAACTGCCAGGCGTGATCAATAACTCAATTTGGTCCAAAACTGGATATACTGTCTTTTGAGATAAAACTCCAGCAGTGTGTTTGTTGGTTTTACTCTGAAAGCAAAGGATATATTTGCTAGAACTTAAATGTATCTCAAAACCCTTTTCCAAATTCAGATCTTTTGCAATCAAAATAAGGTGAAGGACAGGTGTCTATCTCATATTTTTTACTTTCTTAGTGATGGTGATTAGAGGTGGTTTTGGAAGCGATTATTTTTCTGTCCTTGTGTTGTTTCGGTCTGTCTTACATTTTCCCCTGACATTTACAGTCCAGTATTATTGTTGACAAACTATGAAAATGACAGCCCATACTTTTGAACATGAAAAAAAAATTGCAGTTGTTTAATCTGTGGTGTCAATTACATTCAACGTGTACTCAAGAAATGTTGTCGAAATTGAAATTCTAAATGTTGAAAGAAAAAAAACTTTATGATGCAGGTGGAATTGTTGAAAGAGTGAAACAGTTATTTCTCTGTCCTGTAGTTTTCTCTTTGGGCATAGTACATTTTAACAGCTTGGCAACGGTATGCTTCCTTTTACTCAAATCAAAATCTGGTCTGTGAGTACAGTTGTAAGATAATGCTCTGTTTTGTTTTACGTTTCAGAATGGTGTGAAATCCGAGAGCCTACCAGTAAAAGTAAGTCGGTGTGTCAGGTTGCAAAGTTAGTGAGAGGAGGGTTTTGTATCTGAAAACAGTTATTTTTTACATACTCTGGTTACATTCCGTATTTTTGTGTAGCCTCTTCTTTATTAAAAATTTATTTATTTTTTTGCGTAGAATATAAGACATGTTTGTACTTTGCTCTGTTCAAGTGTCATTGCTTCCTTGGAATTTTCACGAGTGAGAACTTTGATTTGGTTACCATAGCTTTAGATTTGAAATTATTATATTAATATTAGGCCTTAGTTGAACTCAGTGCATGTTTGACATAATGCATTTATAGCAGCCATGTTTAGCAGGTTACAATAGTTATTCAACACAGTCCTCGGCTCTGGCACTTACTAAGGAAGCAAAGATGATGCCTTTTGTAATGCTAGGGGGTCATTGACTGGGCCCACTCAACTTATTTTCCCCGTTTTTGACACTATAATAGCTTTATTTACAAGGCTTCATGAAAGTTAATGTGTAGAAATTTAACAAATATTGTTTAGGTTGCTAATTTTTAAGAATTGGTTAGAACAATGAACAATGATAATTAAATTGCAATATTTTTTTGTAAGTTTTTAATTTTTCAATTATTTATTTTTTTCTGTCAGTTTGTTATTTTATATATTATTTTATATTATATATAAACGTTGTTCTTTTTATTCATGGACTTGATTTGTTTAGATTGGGCATATATTATCTTTGAATGTTACCACAACCAATAGGCTTTTTGAAATGATGATATTGCAGTAATATTTCAAAAGAGGTCTATTTGGTCCCATTTCAAAATTGGATGATAGTTATTTGACGTCTGCCTACTTGATGCGCTAGTTGAAGAGTTAAAACCCAAGGCAGAAAGTTCATTCTTGTTAGATATTTACAATATAATGCACATTAAGCAAAACGATTTGTAAAAAATGTAGTCTCAGTACTTCTGAAATGGTCTTAAAAATAAAATTCATGTTGTTTTATTTCATATTTCCAAAATGGCCACTGTTCTCGGGGCAATATGCAAATGCACTCAGTTATGCCATGTAAGAAACATTATTTTTTTACAAATATTATACTGTACACTTCAATATAATGGAGGTCCCCTTTATGTTTGACAATCCCCCTGCTTGGTAGGAGTCTTGGTTATCAGTCACTGTTTTTGTTTTTGTGAGTTTTCACCCTGTACTGTGTTCTAAGTTAGCTTGTAACACTTGATGTGACGCAGTGTTTGTTGTTCCGAGTCGCCCTTGGTTGACCTGTGTTTTTTGTGTCTTTTCCAGATGCTCCAGTGTTCGTCACCGTCTCGGAGGACTAGAGGGGCCGGCGGTTAGGTCCTGTGAGGTGGTCACGCCCTGTAGTAAGGACATCGCTACAGACTCTCGCGTTCTGCCCACTTTGTTACAAAAAGTCAGGAGGAGGAAGAGTGCCGATTGAGAGGAGGAAGAGAATCAATTGAGGGGAGGAAGACAGTAGATTGAGGAGAGAAAGAGAGCCGATTGAAGGAGGAAGCAAGCACACTTTCTGATCCATTCAACGCATTATGCAACCGTTGTCATGTCTTTACTAAGCCGAATCACTGTTTCCTAAAGATGTTAGATTTTTCGGCGTCTTCAGTTTCTCGTCATCATCATCGTCGTCATTGCCTTCATTAAAGGCACAGGCTTACAGCCACTGATTTTATCGACACAGTGAATAAGCCGTCGGTGTGCTGGACTTCCCCTCTCTCCCTCCCCTCAAAAATCAAGTGCATTGCCTGTTGCTTGCGCTCCACCCGAGTGAGGCTGAAATTCTGGGAGTATTTCATCATCGTCATTATCTATCGTTCAAGCTCATCAGCGGGCAATGTTTACAGACAACCAGTATACCATTTGTCAAATACTTTCTGTGAGCTTTCACAGATCAGTCGCTCCCGGTAACCCCCACCACCACCACCACCGCCACTGCAACTCCTTATCTATCCCCGGCGAGAGGAGTAGCCAGGGGTAGGGGTTAGGATGGAGACAATTGGGTGTGGGGCAACCGTGGATGTGACATGTTGTGAGTCACCGTGCTGCCCCCTACAGATAATCCACTCACCACAACAGGCGATGGGTGAATCGGAGCAACTTATGTGTCTATCTAGGTCAGACGTACCTTACCAGAACAGTGAAATGACAACACAATTCCCAGTTCCCAGGGCTTTCTCAAACTACTGTGTTTTATTTTTGTTTTTTCAACAACTTGTTACGAGTATAATAACAACAGACCTTCCTGAGAGGGTTTTATTTTTTGCTCGTATGTTTTTCTGGCTTGAATAGAATGAATGTGTCTGTGGCTGACAGTGAGGTTGAGTGAGTGCTTCATTCTCCCTGGGGTGTTGAGGCAGAGTGTTTTGTGAAGAAATCTCTCGTGTTCAATGTTCCACGATGTTCTCCCACACTGGTTTCTAAAGTGGTATGATGACAGTAGGTTCCTGGGTGTGTGTGGGCTTGTCCTGAAGTTATTGCCAGGTTTGTGGGAATGTAACGTTTTCTGATGTAAGCCTTGTGTGGTCTGTGACAGGATTGTCCTTTCCATATATGGTCATGGTGCTGCCAATATGGCTGAATTCATTTATTGCACTTTTGAGATAATGTGGAAAACCCGATTTTTTAAAAATGTTTCACTTTTTTCACAAAAATGGAATTATATAAATTTAGGATAACAGCCCAGCACGTTTTGGAAATTTAAAAATTCCTAAACGATGCACTATGAGGAGGGGAATTGCAAATTGGTTACATTCCATTATGGCTTAAATCCAGTGTGGGCCATAAAGGCAGCACCATGATGATTATCTTCTTGGGCGTTTGGCATGACTGGAGACACCCTCCAGGGCTCTCTCTCTCTCTCCCATGCTTCCCCTGTTGTTTTAAGGGAAATCACACACAGATTGTGGGAGAGAGGCAAATGTATACAGAGTTGTGGGGTTTTGCTTTGTGAGTTGGGAAGGGGGTGTCCCATAGGTTCGTGATGTCTGGCTTCCAGACCATAATCTTGCAAATTCTCTAAGCAGTGGGGACATCTTTTGGGGAATGAAATAACTTTTCTGTTATCTGTTGGGGTTTTTTCTCTCTCCCTTGGAAAAATTACAGATTTTTCAATGGGTCAACTTTGAACTTGGTTTGTTAAACTTTCCTTACAGTGGAAGACAGGGGGAGGGGTGTTATATACAGTTAGGATATATAGTGTTATGAACATTTAAATAAGATAAGTGTTACTTACAGGTAGGATATAAGTTGGACGCGACTTGTAATCAAACAATAGTTAGTTGTGTGAGCCTCTGTGGGAACACAAGTTTTTCTGTTTGTGGAAGAAAGAAAATGTTTGTCAGGGGGATGTGCCGAGTTTGTGGCGGGAGTTGTTTGTCTACGAGAGAAGTTCTTTGTCTACGAGAGAAAACTCCAGCCTGTGATCTCAGTAAGGGCGTGTTGATGTGTCCGATATGTTTACATCACAAACTTGTTTTTATACAGTTTTGTTATGTTTGTATTTTATGAGCTGGAGTCAACGTGTGAATAGCTGGCCTCTACAGGGAGTGCAGACTGTTCTCCGGCTTTGTCTTCCCTCCTCAACTGGGGGTTCTGTGCGTCATATGGAACTTGCTGGTGTGTGAGACAATGGTGTGGTACGGTTTATCTCACCCCACCTCTTGTTGGGACTAGGTTGACTCTGGTGTGGTATTGCTGCTTTTGAAATTATTGCGGTGGGTTTTAGAATTCTGTAACGGCACATGACATATCAAACTGATTTTTCCTTTTCTTCCTGCCAATTGCCCATTTGAGTTTGTGGCCTGATAAAACCTGGTGTAAGTCTAATCCTCACTTCATAGATAGGAGTGAGCTCCAACAACGCATGGATGCCATGGTGGAAAATGTCCTCAATGGGGGTCACAGAGAATGCAATCACAGGAAACATAAAGATGGCCAGACTATATATATGAACTTGCATGAGGATTGCGTGTTGGGGTAGATTCTCAAGGGCGTCACTTTACAACTGCGTGGTACAAATCGTTCGTTTGTTGCTTTCATGAATGTTGCGTGTAGGGGGTGCTCACGAGAATTATCACTTTCATGAATGTAGTATGTGGGGAGTGCTTTAGATTGATTGCGAGTTCGTAGGGGGTGCTAGTGAAAGTGAAAATTTTGACTTTCATGAATGTGGGTACATAGTGGTAGAATTACCACTGCCATGAATGCAGTATGTAGGGAGTGCTAGTGGGAATTGCCACATTCGTGAATGTTGTGTGTAGGCGTTGAATTGCTGAGAGCTTAATGTTTGTTGTAATGATGTCAGAAGTTGTATCTGGTGCGAAGATGTTTAGAACAGTCCAGGGAGGTTTCCAGCGGGCCGCCTGACAGAAATAAATGTTTGTGAAGTTTTTCCCCCCATCTCTAGGTACAAGATTTATGACAGATTATTTATTTATTTTATTGTTTTGGAAGGTATATAAACCTGAAAGTACATATGTATGCTTATATGTTTTTCTTTGCTTTCCACACTGTTATGCTTTATTCTGATGAGATTTTTTTTTTTGGTTGCGTTAGTGTGTGTGTGTGTGCATTTAAAATGAATACAATGTTGTTATGTTGTGGTTGATGTTCTGTTTTTTTATTTCCGCATATGAATGCTTTGATGTTTTATGCAAACGTTAGCAGAGAGGAGGGAGAGGCGACGTGGTTTTATGTCAATTTGTTGGTTGGTATGCATACGGTATTGTCAAGTTGTTTGAGAACATATTGCTGTTTGACTTGTGTGCCTCATCATTGCCATGTTCTTGATGTGCTGAACATTCTCAGAGCTCTGTGTACGGTGTAAGTGTAAGTGATTTGTGTGTTGTACATTTGTGTCCTGTGTGTTTGGATCGAGAGATGGAACAGTGTCGTGGGGTGTGGCTCATCATTGCCATGTTGTTTGATATATGCTCCTCACACTTGGAGCTGTGTACAGTTCTATGGTGTTGTGTTTGTGGCCAGGGGGAGAAAGGAAAATGAATCAGTGGCTGGTCTGTCTGTGTCTGTTATTTGTCACTGGCTCCAAAGTCTGTGAGTCTGATCACAAGAGGCTGTGGGCAACTACAGGCTCAGTTGTATAGTTGGTCAAACTGCAGCGGGTTAGAATTGGCAGGGATGGAAGCTTACATCTTATCTGAGGTCTTGGGTTTTTGAAATGGTGCTTGTTTGTTATTGTAAGAACAGTTCTGGGATGCTGAGTTTTGGGAATGAGGAGAATTCTCAGTTTTCATGTTAACTCACTTGTAAATCTTGGAAGTTTTAGTCAGGTTTGCATCTTAAAGTTTTGCTTCTCCATCCGCCTGGCTCTGCTCAGAGGAATAAACAAAAGTATAATAATGATGTAAATAGGGTAACCGGTGGTCATTTCTGCAAAGTACCAGAAGGCAAAGGGGCAAGAAACAACAAAACAGTTGCACAGGGAAGGGATGTGAGCCAAAGAAAGAGAAGTAATCCGCTCAGCTTTCCGTTTCACACAGTCGAGGTTGACTCGTATCACAATAACTTTTGCCCTATGGCCTCATGGTTTTCATCCTTTTTTTTCCTCTTTTGTGCGTTTTTGTATCTGTTCGTGTCGCTTTTCTGAACAAGAACGCACCTGAAGGGAAGCTGTTTTAGAAGATTAGGATGGTTGTTTTGAGAAAGACTAACTGTGTATCCCAGAGTTCCATATTTTAATTCTTTAATTTTAACTTTTTGTTTCCGGAGGGGGTTTTCCCCTCTCTCCTGGGGCCATTTTGTAGAACAAAACGTGAGTGTGACGTAGACTCTACATGTGGGTGGTTGGCGGGTGCTCTGGTGTGGTTTGCTCCTTCTTTCCTATCTAACATCTATCGTCCTTATCTCCCCTTCTTCTCTTTTATGTTTGTTACTGTCTTGTAACACCTTATCTTCTGGCGCTCCTATGACCTTATGCAGTTGCGAACGCCGTAAAACCTCTACTACTAAACTAGACTCTACATGTCACTAAATTGGTCATTAAAGCTAAACAAATGAACTTATTTTTATAGTTAGTTCTTTATCTAGTGAAAGAATTCCCAGTTTTTTTTCTTAAAATTTTTATTTTTTTAAATTGGTTTTTTTTTGGGGATTGGGTTGTTTGTTTTTTGGGGTTTTTTTTTTTTTTTTGGGGGGGGGGGGGGGTTGACACTTGTGGAAAATTAACATTAATACGTCGTCATGATCGTAAGGGAATGTGACCAAACCACCAATGTGGATCACAGGGTTTGACTTGCTGGAGAATGGGAGTTTTAAAGACAGTTAAAAAGAGAGTTGTTTTTTTAAATATCTGCAGACTGTACAGAGGAGGAGGGGGGGTTTACGATGCAGGTGGTTGATGGGTGCTCTGGTATCATGCTGACTTGTTTGAACAACTGGAGTCGTCTGAGCAGAGACTTTACGTCCGTCAAGATGGTATGGAAACTTTAATCAGTGTGGGCATGCTGTAGAGGATTTATAGTATGGGAATTTGCAGTGTTTTTGTTTTGATGATAATGATAATAGTGTGGGTTTGTTTTTTTTAAAGTAGTAGTGATTTGATTTCTTTATTAGTACAGAGATGGTTTCATGGTTTGTGTGAGCTGTAGAGATTTGGTTTTTTTTAGTGTTGTGGCCATCTTACTTGTCAACCTTGTGTTTGTTAAGGTGTTTTCGGAAATGATTCCTTGTTCATTAATCTTGTATATATATATCGCTGTTGAGGCGCCGTATGTCGCATGGAGAGGTTTGTGGTGAGGCGGGGGAGAAGATGAGCCGTTTCGTGATGTAGCTGTTCTGTGGTCTTTGGTTGGAAAAAAAAAGGAGAGAGACAAGAGACTGGGAGAGAGAGATGGGAGACAATACTATTGACTCTTTGAACAAAAAAAAATGAGTTCCTTGTCCATGCGTTATATAATGTTACTTTTTGTGTTATTACATGTAACTTCATGTGCTACTTTGTGGGGTTATGATGTGTTATTTCATGTGGTATGTTTCTTTATGTGTTACTTCATGTGGTTATGTTTCTTTATGTGTTAACTTTGTGTGGTGTGTGTGTAACTATGTGGGTTATGATGTGTTGCTTCATGGGTTGTCGTGTGGTTTTGTGTGGTGTATGTGTAACATTGTGGGTTATGATGTGTTGCTTCATGGGTTGTCGTGTGGTCCCCGACAGCGTATTCTCGTGCCTATTTATTGACTGCAGTGGACGTGTTTTGATGATGGAATTTCGCTTTACATACAAACTTGTGAATCCTGTGACCTGTGTGTGTGAGTGTGCGTGCGTGCCACGCTAACAACTTGTGGGGACAGGAGAGCCAGGCGGCAGCGAGTTGGTAACTTGGCATGCCCTGGTGAGTGTGGCCGGGCGCCAGATTCCTTGTGCTGTGTTGACAAAGCTATTTATGGAAACACCAAACACTGTATCTGCTTTCTATTTCCAGCGCTTTGCAAGGAGTTGGAAATGTATACGTCCGACTGTTTCATGATGCAGTGGTTTTCTGTGAGGAAGAGCAAGATAATATTATATCTGATACTGGATTCCATTACTACACACACACAAACATATATATATCTATCTATCTATATATATATATATACACACACAACATGTGGATATTATTTTCCATTTCGATAAGCTGTCTTGCATTTGTTCGGAGTGTCAGATCTACAGCTTCGGGATTTTCAAAAGAAGTGTGTCTTTTGAAGCTTTCGATGCGTTGCTGTTGCTATGTTTTCTGGAATTCCAGTGTGAATTTCTACCGTGACTTTGACCATGTTAGGAGACTTTAACCAATTGTGAGAATGCGTCAAAAAGGGAGTGGAGTGGTGTGTTGAGTGTCGCGAGTGTTTATGACCAGCGCCGCATGGAGGATGGAACAATAGCGTAGAGAACAAGAAGAGTGTTTTCCCCGACTCTGTGATCTATTCTTGGACTCGTTCACTGGGACACTGCTGTATCCGCCTCCCGCGACTGTAGCTGGAAGCTGTTTCAGCTGAGCTTTGTGCTGGGGTGCCAGGCTGAAGGAGTGGGGGTCCCGAGTAACCCCGGCAGGACCCCCTCCCCTCCCCTGTGCCTCGCCTGATGCTGACAGGAGGCATGGCAGGCTCCAGTGATGTTAGTCACCTGTATATATATATTTGTTATATATACTGTGTATCATTAGTTTTGTGTTCTCACGGAAATGTGATCCCGATATTGTTGGTCCTTTCGAAACAAACCACACCCTTCTCTCCCCTCCTTAATCTATATCTCATCCAACCTCCACCCCTACCTCACATACACACCCCATGAACCCATCCAGTGATTGATGCTGACACTTACTTGTACATAAGGAGAACAGGACGTAGGGGCTGGGGATTGTCTGTTGGGGAGGTTGGGGGGGGGGGGGATCAAGGAGGAGTGAGTGAGATGACGCACAGTCAAAAGCCTGTTATATACAGCAGATCTTGAGATGAGCATGAATTTGCGGTTTAGCGGAGAGGGAGAAAAATCATTAACAAGCGCTTCCCTTGTGCAAGTTGCGCACATTAAAGATCCCTTGGGGGTCCAAAATATATGAGAGTAGGCTTCGGCTGGCACCCGGGCAAAATTCAAAATTAATTCCTACCAAACCGAAAATGTTTAATGTGTCGCGCAAGCTCATATGATCTTAAACAGTTGCGAGAGCCGTAAAATAATTACTCAATCAAACAAGACAAGTGCTAGCTCACGAGGTCTTGTTCAAGACAAAGGGACATTATCACTGCTCAGCTGCCGAATGGATGCTGTATGTAGGTTACCTTTCATCTCTTCATGTTCTGGCGAGAGGTTTGTGGTTTTTGTCAGATCATTACACCACCACCACCACAACCCC